ACCGCCGCGCGACAACATGATGCCTGGTATGGCTGGACCACGTGGTCCCCAAGGAAAGAGTAAGTAAAAGTATTCAATTTTCCATTTAATTCCAAAAAAAAAAATCGAAAACAAAAACAAAAATTCTTAACTCTATTTTTTCTTTGTACAAAATAAAATCAAAACAAAAATATATTAATTTACAAAATAATTTTTTTCCTGTAAACAAATAATTCAGTCACTCAGTACTGTACAGTATCTAAGGATTTCTTTCTGTTCTTTTGTTATTCTTTTTTTCAATGAATATTCTCTAATGTTTTATTTGTTTTTGTACAAAAGTTTAATTTTTATTTGAATATTCTTTTTTTGTTCTTCATTAAATGTGAGAAAAAATATTGGTTCTGTGAAAATCAAATCTAACATTTGCGGAGCAAAATTTAATAAAAATCGCTAATTATTAGGTCTTTCAAAAATCCAAAAAATAACTATTTTTAGGCCTCCTATTCTAAACCAAAAATACAAAAACACTGCAAAAAAGAAAGAAATCAAATGAAACAAATCTACAAAAATACTTTATTTTTTATTTAAAAAAAATTTTGTTTTGTAAAATATTTATTTATTTTTTAATATTTCTTCTTTCATTATGGTTTTGGTTTCAATTTCATTCTGTAATCAAAATAATTTCGGCACAATATTTCTGTAATAATATCATTTACTTTTTTCTTTCCTTGATTTGTCAAATATACATACATATGAATATAGTTGTTGTTCTTGTTGTTTGTAATTGTTAACTAATATTAATAGAGAAAACGAAAAAAAAACAAAATAACTAAAACTCGATAATAATCAAATGGAATTTTATAACAAAACAAAAAAAATGAAAATATTATAGTTGAAGGCATTATCTCATCCACTACCCATCCAAAATCCACCACCCAACCACCATCCATTCTATTTCAAACTGTAGCTGGAACATTCCGATCACACTCAGTTTTTTGAATGTACATGGCGAATTATTTATTTATTTATGTTTTCATATATTTCATCATTTCATTTCTCATGTCTGTGATCCATTTATCGTTGTCCTCAAATATTTATGGTTTCTAATCTTCTTCTTCTTCACCTCTAAATGTGTTTATATGTTTCTAAACTAAACCGAAAAAATACTCGTCCTCTAATGTCTAACTCTTAAATATTTTATGCGTGTCCTGTCTGTAACAGTTGTGTCTGTGTGTGTGTTTGCTCCCCTATTTTAATTTCATACTTTTTACAATTATTTCAAATAAATTTCAATATTGTGTATAAAAAAACAAAGCATGCCTATGATTTATAAGTTGAATTTCTTCTTGATTTATTTGGTCCTTATGTTCAAAAAGTTTACACTATAAAACAAGAATTTCCACACATAATCTCCATACTCTTTATTTATCCCATAAACCACTAAGACGATATTGATGACTATTAAAAATTTATTTCTAAAGAAAATACTTTGCTATAATATTGGTATGTTTTTATGTAATTCTGAGAATACATTTATAAATTCCGCTGGTTTAAGGGTTAACAACAGAAATATATCCTTTAAACAAATTTGAATACACATATTTGCTATACATTTTTAATACTAATAAATATCGGAATTTCGGCTGTGTTGACACATTATTTCTTCGATATCATTTATTTTAGTTAAACCGTCTTTATTGTCTTCAAAACTTAATTGAAAAAGTAAATATTTTATAATGCCTCTTCCGAAATAGGTTTAATTATGTTAAGAATTTCATCCAAAATAATCTACATTTTTTTAATAATATCAGTTCGATGTTCAATTTCACCGCTTAAAGTCTCTAAAAACATCCGACACAGCGTAATGAGTCCAGTTTTATGAAAACAATTTCGTCTTGTTTTGGGCATGCACAGCTGATCAAGCTATTGACCATCTTCAGAGAATCCAAGCCTCCTATCTATTCAGGGTAGTACTGTAAGAAAAGTCTCCACTATAGATTTAGGATATGTTATGATAAGAAAAATAATTGTCGGAACTTAATATTTAAATTAAAGTTCCTGTTCTTCTTGTTTTTTATAACTTCACCTATGTTGGTTTTTAAATGCTTAAGAGTTGAAGGTTTAACTAGTCCTATATGTGGTTGTGACAAAAACACCATTTTTGTAAAAGTTTTTGATAATTTATATGCGTTTCGATATAGCAAGATATCGATTTTCATCAAACTCAGACTTTTAATTGAAAAGAAAAAATGTTGGTTCAACAACTTAGTATGGCAGATGTCGAATTTCAGTGCCATACTTTTGAAACCAATAAATGGATAACCATACTAGCGTTTGCCCCTCTTTACTGACACAAACTCTTATTCTATTTTTTGTAAGAACTTCCTATTTATACCGTTCACCACTCTGTAATTCAGGGTACTATGACTTTGTGCATATGTTTGTAACAGGCTCCCATATATAATTTCGTCCGATTTTATGTATATAGTGCATCAAACTCCCAATATTTGTCCGATTTAGCAAAATTTTGTACAGCGCACTGAAATTACTGCAGGTTGACATCCGCGAAGTATTTTGAAATCGGTTCAGATTCAGCTCCCATTTATATATGTCCATCCGTTTTTTAATGGTGCACCAAACTCCTAAGGTTATTCAGCTTAAGACAAAATTTCGCACAGCTTAATGAATTAAGTACAGGATGGAGTATGCGAAGTTTTGTTGAAATCCCTTCAGATTTTGATATAGCTCCCATAAATGTTCGTCCGCTTTAATATAAATAGTCCACCAAACTCCCAATGTTTAGCCGATTGGCACAGATTTTTTTACAATGCACTATAGGTAATTTGGACAGTTTTTTTATGCAAAAAGTAATTTTTTCAAATTTAGAAAATAATATCCTTTTTGATGGCATTAAAAAGAAAACATGTCAAAATTTATGATTCTGTAAGATTTTTTTCGTAACAGTGTCTTAGTAAAACGTTTGAATTTGTCTGATCTTTTGACAACCACCATCAAAAATTTACTTTTTCAGCATTGATTAAAAATAAAAAAGTGTCTTACAAAAAAATGTTGTAAGATTTCGTGGTAATTATTCGCTAAATTTAGAGTTCGTTTCTAGGCTTTAAATCTGTCTGATTGAAATGAAATTTAGCGCAGGTTGCAGAATGGCATGTGTATGGATTGGTGTTAGTCGGTTTACAAATGGCTAAAGATCAAGCGTCTGTTAGATGCATCTGTTGAATATACCTAAAGTGGTGGAGGGTATAAAAAAGTCGGCCCGACCGACTTTACTACTTTACTTACTGGTTTGGGATAGGTATTGTAATTGAACTCTGAAAGGCCTTTGTTTTTTCAAAGTCTTGCTTTTTAAATTAAATGGATGAATGATGATGAGTTGCACCATTAGACTTCAAGGTTCGAATGTATATGGTCAAGCAGTAGGTTATTGTTTTATGGGAACCTTTTGTATTTTTAGAATGTAACTCCAAAGAAGAAAGGTCAGTATGAAAAATGTTTTTCCGTATATTATGTAATTTTCAATGTTTCAGTAAGTCTGGTAGATGATTGATGTAAATGCAAAATGGTTCAAATCTAATTCTTGTGAAACTGTGAACAATTTGTTTAGCTTGTGCATCAAGGATTTTCATTACTTTATTCTCGGTTTAAAAAAAATGATATTTTGTTCACTTTTCTTAATATTTCAAGTAAAAATCTCAACTACTCTTTATGATACAGCCGATTTATTGTTTCAGCATCAAGCGACGATTCTCAAACGTTAAAGAAGTTTTTCTCAAAACAGTGTTTTTGGGATGGCGGGCACTACAACTCAAACATTAATAATCCAATCCTTTCCAATTTTTAATGCGTTATTCTGCTTCTATGGTATGAACTAGAATAACTGTAATCGGTCCAACTCATCCTTATTATACAGCTTGGTTTTTGGTCGAAAGTAGACGGTTTCCAAAAAAAAATCCTAGGTCCGCTATTTTCTAATTATTGAGTAAATCAATAATCCTACTTCATACCAGATTCAGATATGTGTTCTTTCCAATTGCGTTGGAATTTTGAGATTCGGTTGTGCCGGTAATCGGCAACCATTTCCGCCGTCGAAAAGAAAGACTTTTCTTTAATTACAAAATCCAACAATAACATTTCGTCAATTTTGTTATTCTTTAAATCTTAAAATACGTCTTTAAATCTTAAAATTGTCGAAATTTTTAACTTGAGAATGGGTGGGGTCCCCTTATTATAGGACGATAAGCATGTGAAGTGGAACAAGAACAAGTGAGCTTGTTTCCCTGCAACAAGGACGTTAGATTTAACAGGAATGTTTATTCATTGTAAATTTCCTCTGAAAAAAAGGCCCTTATAATTTGTCGAACCATATTTCCCTATTCTTTAATTACAATTATACTACAATATATTACTATATTGTTGTATTATTGAAATTTTTACTAGAAACGCGTACTCTTTTTCTGAAGCCTATCCACAATTTTAGACATATTTATTAAGGTTTTACCCACAATTTGTACTTGTTTTCCATTCCTATGATTTTCTTGAATTTCTTGAATTTCTTGAATTTTTCCACGACCGTATTTCTGTTCTTTGCTTTACTATTCTAAAGGTATGGAACAGCTGGTCTGCAATAATTTACTAATTTTTACTACTTTTTCCACATCATAAAGAAAAATTGTTATCGTAATAAAAAAAAAATACTCCTTGCAGGCTCTGGAACAGATTAATTTAGATCTGATTATTTCGGGAATAAATATTCTTTGTTTTAAGACTCCAAAACCACAACTCTTTATACCTATAAATATTATAAGCAATTTCACAAAATGTGTAGAAATTTGATGGACAACCCTCTTGTAATTTAATATTACTTTGCAATAAAATGGGCTTATTTTTAGTTTTCTTTCTTCTATTTTTTTATTTGTTACAAGTTCTATATATTTTGCTCGTATTTTTGCTACGATGTTTAATTGCGGTTTTTATATATACAAAATATAAAACAAAATAAACAACAATAACAACAACATTCACACACACCCATAACTTTTCCTTCAAAAATATATTTACCTGTCTATTTGCAAATATTTCTACATTAAAAATTGCTTCTAAGGCACTATACAACTATGAAAAACTTAACAACAACAAAATTTACTTTTTAATTTCAACTACATTTAAACATATAAATAAGTGTATAAAATGTTATAAATAATAATTATAATGTACAATAATAAGTAATACAACAGACAAAATGCAACATATTTGAAGGTAATACAACAAAACAGAAACACATATTCCTTTTTTTTTAATTTTCAAAATAAAAAAACAATCGAAATGAGTTCAGTTTTTATTTTGTTGGCTTTTTCTTATAAAGCAAAATAAAAAAATAATTAATTATTTGCTTTAAATTTTGTGTTCATTAGTTTTCTATATATATTTCATTCTGTTTTTATCTTATGTTTATATTATGTGTAAATTGAGAAATACTAAGTCCAAACTTGCGGTGAATTATATAGAAAATCTTTAAATGGAATTAAAACAAAAATCAGCCCAGCATAAAGTTGACCTTTAGAAGCTGCTGTATTTTGTCTACACGATATACCAAATTTGTGGTTATAGGCTTATCCAGAGAAAAAAGAACAATTCAGATGTATACTACAAAACAACAACAAAAAAAACTATTATTTCAAATTGGTTCTCTCCAAAACTAAACAACAACAATAACAGAAATGCATCGAAATTTTCAAAATAATTTATTTTTTCATTTAAATTCGTTTTACTTAATTCTGTCTTTTATGTTCTTCTTCTACGTTTGTTTTTTTTATTTTTTATTGTGTTTTCTTTTTCCTTTCTTTGAGTTCTTTTACGTTTGAGAAAAAAAAACGAAAAATACTACCAATACCAACAACAAAAAGAATTTAAGTTAAACAAAATTTATTTTGTAATGGTCTGCTGTGGTAAATGTGAAGTCTTTATGTTATATTTGTTGCTATAGATGCTCGCCCTGCTTCCCCTACACTGTTAGACAACACGGGCCACCCTGCCCCCGATCACCAAACGCAGGTAAATACTCTAACTTCTTTACATTTTTGTTAAGAAAAAAAAAATGCATTTAACTTGTTCTTCATTTTTTAGTTTTGTTTTTGAAATATACGTTATATATCTTTCTCTTTCTCTCAAACATAATACTCTCTCGCTCTTATAACAAACTACTTTATATATGCAAGAAAAAAAAGAACTCTCCCCTCAACTTAAAAAATAAATCAAAACTCGAAGAAAACTCCACTCACTGTTTTTTTTTTCAAGTACAACTATCACACCCTACTACTAGAACTGTCTCTATACAACTGTTACTACTACAACTACCACCGCCACTACTATTTACTACAACTGTTTCTTCTACTTGTCTACTACAACTGTGTCCAATACAACTCTGTCTCTGATTAGATGAAACTCAACAGCTCAGCATTCATGCATTCCTCCAAATCTGTATTGTAATTTAGTTGCTTTCACTTTCATTTCGAACCAACCAATTGTCGTTTGTGTTTGATTTGGAGTTCTGTAGAAGAAAAAAAAGAAAACGAAGAAGAAAAAAAACGACAACATTTTTTTTTTAGAAATTTCATAAGAAATGTTAACTAAACAACACCTCAATTCCCAAAAAGAAAAAATCGAAACAACAATTTTTATTGTGTTTAACAACAAAATAAAAAAAAAAACATTTTTTGCAACATCTTTTATGTATAGCTAGCAACATTTTGAAAAAAAGTAAATTGAAAACAAAAACTCATATTTTTGTGCTTTTAATATTTGTCGAAAAATCAAGAGATCGAAAGAAGTAGTTCAGCTGCAGCAATCTTTGTTAAATACACCATTAACACTCAACACTACCATATTTTTTTAATAGAAACAAGAAAATTAGTTGCTTTTGTTATTCTCTATCTCTGTCTGTGTAGAAAAACGTTTTGAAACCCAAAAAAGGCAAAGCAAACATTTCAATGAAACGGCAAAACATACCACTCATAGAAAAATTACATTCCATAATTACCCAACAAAAAACAAAAAAAAAAAAAAAGTTCACACATTACCTACTACCACCCAATGAATCAGTCCAAAAAAATCAACACACAACTCACCACTGCATTGGTGAAATACAAATCCTTAATCCTGGTTAATGGTACAAAAATCCAGTTATTTCTTCTGTTTCATTTTTCACTTTCATTTCACTTCAGCTTTCTGCCTTTGATTTTCGTTTCGAATTATATGCTTTGTTTTATTTTCCTATCCCCTATCAACGAATTTTTTTTTTTTATATATTTTCCCCTATTCCAAAATTTTAAACAATTCAAACAATAGAATACAATTTATTCAAACTACTTCTAGAACTCACATACCAGCAAAAACAACCACATCAAAGAAAGCAGAGCGAAATTCCAAAAAAAAAATCATAATCTAAATAATATCAAATTTGTATATTAGGGTGTTCTTATCGTAACGCACAGTTTTCAAATCGTACGTTAAACTAATGATGTGCATGCTTTCGATTTATTTTCTAAATCGAATTATATTTACTTCAATAATAAAAAATTAAATCAAACAAAATAAAAACGACGACATTAGAAACGGGTTGACCTGATTTGTGAGGATTTATTTGACATGTGAGCATGGAAATGGGTTAACGAAATCCAGTACAATGTAAACGTACTATAAATTGATTCAGTATATCAAATTGCTAGAATTCCTTTGCGAAATTGAAATAGTTTCGAATACTACACTGTTTTTTGTTGCCAAATATGCATCACTTTTATTAAAATCAAATAGTTATGTGCCGAAAATATGACAGAAGCTGAAAAATGACCATTTCTATTAGAACTTTGAAAGTATTGATTGATAATTGCAATTGCCACAAATTATGAAATAGTGAAATGTGTAAACATACGTAAAACAAATATCAGCTGACTGACATATTTATATCATGCGCGCAGTTTCTACTTAAATTCGATGTGCAATGTTGCCAACCATGTGAAATATTACTAGAAAAAAAATATGACAGATGTTAGGGTAAAAAAAATGTTTTTGTTTTGATACATCACCTTATTATTGCATCATGATGATAGTACAAGTCATGGCACAATTAATAGGCAGTCTATTTAGCGCATCTGATGTCTTGATTAAGTGTCAAAGTGGGTATTTTTTACATGAATTCGATGTGCAGAGTTGCCAACCATGTGAAATATTATATGGAAAAATTTGACAGATGATCGAGACAAAAACAAAGGTTTTTGTTGTGATACATCACCTTATTATTGCATCATGGTACTAGTCTAAACAGCTAGGATTTTGTAGAATGATTTGGAAATCGCGTCGGTATAGTTTTAAAGTGACTCTTTTCCTGAAAACAGCTGTTCACATATGCACATTGTTTACGTTAAAATTAGGCGACAAACCCTTAAGGGGAGAGGGTGGAAATGGTATTTAAGCATCGTCTTCCTCGTCCGTCAAGGTGGTACCGTCTCATATGTCAGTCGGGATGCTTTCTGACTATGCCGAAAGCGACTGAATTCCTCAATAAAACTGGATCAATTTGTTTCTGTGATGTTTGATTTAGGCGCGCAAATGTTCGCCTGTCTGATGTTTAGAGTACGTGGGTACTTACCTTGCGGTCTTACCCCACGGTGCTGTAAACACCAGTTAATACAAAGCGTCAACCAAACCCGCCACACCGAAATGCAGGTACAAATCGATCACAAGTATTTGGACGCGATCACCTCCTTGGATGAGGAGCGGAGCCCATCTATAACTCCTGCCTTTCTATGCGCCTGTCAGGCAGTGAAGCATTGGCACTTAGTAATTTCCTTCGAGATTCTCCGTTTAATTACGCTGATTGTCCGGGACTGCTTATTTAATTCACAGCCACCTAAAATATATATTAGACTTCTCACTATTCACAACCTGGACAGGCGTACCATAACATTAAGCTATGCTTCCCACTTCAACATCTGAAAAGTGCAGGATTATTTCTGCATCATACAGCGAGTCACAGTCGAATGTATCCCCTTGGTTATTTCATTTTAAAAATGGCATATGTACGTGGGTGTTAATTAATGAATTATTTTTTTTTTTATTTTTTATATGTGAACATGAACATCCTAAGTTAAAATTAATGAAATCAAATAGCCAATATTTATAAAATTTAATATAAAAAATAAGTATTGTTAAACAAAAGCAATTGCAACCTAAAAGTGAAAAGTGGATACTTTTCATTATTATTATTTAAAACTTAATATTATTTACAACTTAAAAACGATTAAAAGTCAATTTCTCAGGGAATATCAAGCTAAATATTGCATCTGACATTTTGTACACTTGAGTTTGATTATTTGGATAGTGATCGTGAGACTTGGAGACCATGGAACGCCACACAACGATTACCAAGAGAAAATTAGCTCTTCAACATACAGAACTAGAAAAATCTCAACGGAAAATAGTGGAAATACTCAATTTACTCTACCTGCTATCCAAAAAAATATATTATTTTATTTTTATTATTAGCCGAAAATCAGCAAAAAATCTATTGAATATAAGAGAAGAAAAGTGTTTGCTCCGACAAGTGTCCGATAATCCAAAGCAAAGTGTGCATAAACTTGCTGAAATCGCTGAGAAATATCTGGATAAATGTAATCACGAAACAATTTGAAACATTTTGCGTAAGCATGGTCCCATGGGAAAATTTTACTGAAAAATCCATTCATAAACACCAAACACAGGAAAATCTAATTGGAGTTCGTTCAGAAACACGACAATAGAGCTGTATGAGCGCTGCCAGATTTATTTATTTAAACATTCTAAAGGATAATTTGAAAGCTTTAAAAGATAACGAGAAATTTCATACTCAGTATTAGCCAACCAAAAAAATCAGTTTGTTAAAAAAAAACTTTTATCTTGAGTACTTTTCGCAGTGGGGTTATATTGAATTCACTTAAATATTGTTTATTTTATTATATTAAATTTATGTTAAGATGTTCAAGTTCACACAGAAAAAAGAATAGTAATTAAATTCATTGATTAACATGAACTTATGGCATTTTTATTATAAAAAAACAAGTGGATACTTTTAAATGTGACTCACTAACCCCTAGATGCTAAAGGTGCGTTTAGACTCCGAATTTTATCGTGATAAAGTACATTAAAGTATATTTACATATACGAGTTTAAATCGATTCGATTAACGAAATCCAGAAATACGCCCTAATTGTTTACACATACCCTTAATCATGATCTATATGCCGATCAGCTGATGTTTGTTAGTATACATACAAATTTATTAATTTGCGCCAAAATATTTGTTTGAAATTTAAAAAAGTAATAGAAGAATTACCACAATGGAAATGTTTTTGCAATACAGTGATCGTTTGGAAAGAAAAAAACCTTAAAACACAAAAATTCTATAATTAATTTTTATTTTCCTTTGATCTGTCATTTTTGTATTTGTCAACCGTTAAATTTAAAAACAAACGGCATGTAAAAACAGTTGCAAATTTTGGTACATTGTGAGAGAGTTGTATTTTTTCGTACAAAACCCGCGTTGCATCTCAGTAATATCACGGTCATGATTTAAAATAAACCCATTTCAATACACCTCGATTTACTATTAAAACTACTCAACATCTGGATTTGCTCGAAGTCCAATCCTAAATCGAGATTATTTCAAATACAACTCTGCTTTTGCACCAAAAAATAATGACGCCTCCTTAAAGTTGAAACAAAAAAATGTTGCGGAATTATAAAAATATTGATTAAAAAATTTGCCCCAGAAATTGTGAGACCAGGAAAATGTGTATTTATACCGCTGACAAATCAACTTTATATCATTTTAATACTAGTCTAGGATTTGTACGTCGATTAACTTATCGAGTAGTTTTAAAAGGCATAATCCAAACGCGCCTTAATGCTACGAAGCTTGGTTTTCTTCTCATTGTTGAAATTTGAATTTTAAATATTTTACGAACAAAAATATTAGTTCTGCATAGTCGAACGCCTAAATACATGCAACATTTTATGGCAATATGTTAATCGAAGCAAAAGTATAATGTTCTTTTCCGCATAGAAAAATGCCAAATGTTAAATGTCACAAATGAAATAAATATACATATAGACGTCTTGTTAACACGTCCTTGCATTTGTTTTTTTTTCAAAATTTTAAGAAATTTCTAAATCATCGTTTAATGTTATAAAAGTCAGTGTATATAAGGATTAATTTCATATACGAAGATCTGACTACTCGTATGGTATATGCATAATTACTATAATTGTGCAGATACTTGAACATTTTAGATCCAGCAAACATCTTACATAATTTTAGCGTTTAATATTATGTTGTAACTAAAATGCGTTTACGAATAGAACACTCTAATACATTATAAAAACCCTCTAAATTATATAAAACTTAAATAAAATCATTATTTCAGTTTCTGTAAATATCTACTCACTCTATTAAGCCATATTTAAAACAAAAAACAGCCAACTAAAACATATCTTAGAAGCAAAGCGTATATTCAAATAATAAATAAAAATACAACTCAATGCTTATTATATTATGTAATATACAATTCAAGGCCTCAATATTTACATATACATATATAAGTATACATTTCATAAGTATAAATAAATATTTATTAGTCGTGTGTCTACCAAAAAATACAAAATTTCTTTTCATTTCCTAATAATATTGGATGTAAATGTAAATGGTGTGTAAAAAAAATTCTATGTGATTCACTGTATGTGTACAAAAATGTCCTCATTTTTTTATTTTGTGTTTTGTTTTCGTTTATAGTTTTCATTATTTGTATCCGAATATTCATAGAAATGTGTATTAATTCATTTTTGGTTTCATTATATATATATATATTTTTTAATTTTATATTTCATTCCTTTTTACATTTTTTTTGGCTTTTTTCCAAATCTATAATTTGTCGTTTCATTTCAAATGTTTGTTATAAATTTGCAGAAAAAAAACTAAAACGTATATTAATTATGAATTATTAAATAATTTAAAATTTAGTTGAAATTTGTTTCTTTTCAGTTTTGATAACAAAAGAAGAAAAAAAAACAAAACAATAATCCAACACAACTCAAACATACAATTCAATACAAAAGATTGAAACAGAGCTGAATAACTATTATTGCGTTAATGGTTAAATCAGATGCCTACTATATATACCCAAAATATTTATTAACCTATCCAAAACCCTACAGACATATAATTATTCATAATACATCATATAGTTTGATTTTTGTTTTAGTGTTTCATTAAAAGTTATTCTAAACCAGAAAAACGTTGCTAGTTCTACATATTTTCAAATCAATTCATATACTATATGAAAAAATCTTAAAATTAAAATATTTTAAAGAAATCTACTCAAGTTTAAGGGAAAAGTCTTGTGTTTCTTTATAAGAACAATTATTGACACATGTATTGCATACTTTTAGGCGAAAATTTAGTTGGGGATTATATAAGAGATCTAAAGTTGAACAAGGAGCAGTGTTACTGTTAGGAATTTTTAAAAAGTTGCACAAAAAGTAATTTTTTTAATAAAACTGTTCCGTGAATATGTTTTATTCCCATTGAAAACAAAAACGACAAATACGAATCTAAATTAGTTTGAAAAATTGAAAATTGAAATTACAACGTAAAAATACTGCGGGAAGAAAAGTCGCACATAGCTTAAAAAGTTGCACATAGAGTTACAGGGCATCAAAAAAGTCGCAAATTACAACCTTAGTTGCACAACGGTAACCCTGACAAGGGGTGACATCACGGCTAACCATTCAGTCCCGTGAAAACGAAAATGGCAACCCACAATAGAACAAAGTAAAAAAATTGTTTTATACTCTTAGATATTAGAGCAGTTCCCTATGTCATCGGATACCCCATAACGAAAATATAAAATAAATAAAATTCTATGTTAAAATAGCCATGTCAGTCTGTCATTTGAAATTAGGATGAGACGTCTTGGTATAGATTCCTGTAACATTTTTCTACCTAAGTGGCTACATAAAATTTTAGAGTTGGGTCGTTCCCGAACTTCAAATGAACTATAACGCAAAATGAACGAACGGTACTAGTTCATCTGGTTATTTCGTTCATCTAGTTCCTTTTTACTCTCGTTCCCATAGCACCTTTTGAACGAATCTTTCATTTAGATCTTCTCGTTTAATGACCGAATTAACTGACGTACACCAAAAAATTATGAAACTAAATTCAACTATGGAAATAAATTAATGACTTAGTTCATTTTGTGAAGCGTCCCGAAAAAGAGGGAACCTCTTCAGGAACGAGATTGCTGAAATATAGATAAGATTCAATAAATGGTCATGCTTATATTGCCCAAGGAACTTTTTTTTCAAATTTTTAGCAGCATAGCCCAAACAAAAAGGCTGTTGTTAGGTATTCTGGGTTCTTGGAGGGAAGGAAAAACATATTTGCAGGACATTTTTAAAAGGTTACACCCCAGTTTTACTACTATGAAGATCCTTATTGAATTTTCCAACCAGTATACGAAATCATTCTGACATGCGATTCTAAATGTTGGTTTGGTAAAGGGTCCGAACCAATTTAAAAGTGTATGGCAAAAATTCAGCCCGGTCGAACTCAACGATGTTTTTATGGTTCAACGCCTCCTTTCGGTAGTGAATCAAAGCTGCAGCATAGTATTATTAGAAAACTAATTATATAGTCGATTATCAACTTTTCATCGCAGGATTTACTACCTCAGAATCAAAGACTTATGTAATTGTATCCGATATAAAATATCTCCAATTAATAGAAGACTCCCTGAAGATTTGCAATTAATCGGCTAAAAGTATATCCGTTAATACCAAACTCCTAAATATATTCGGAATTAGTAATTATTGATGATACAAAAATAAATCTCAAAGGAAAGATAAAGTGCAGAATCCTGATTTAATTGTTAAATTGAGTTCAATTCACCTCGATTTACCATACAAATTTAAATCCACTAAATATCTAGATTTGCTCAAAATCCTATGCTAAATCGACATAATTTCAAATACAACCCTGCCTTTGTCCCAAAAAATCGTTTCTCCTTAAAGTATGCTTTAAAATTAGTTAATAATCCAAATAAGTGCATAAAAAAATATGTCAGCTGCTCAAAATGATTCATTCATAATAAATGATTCTATAATTGAGAACAACGTAGGGTTTTATGCATTTCAGACCTACCTCACAGAGCAATTCCGAACAAAATTGGGAAAGTATTGATAGAAAAATTGAAATGTGTTTGTATTCGTAAACAAATAAAAGCTGACAAATCCACTTCATTTCAGTGTAATACTAGTCTAAACAGTTAGGATTTACAGAGGCATAGTATAAACGCGCCTTAAGTTTTCCTGCAAATCGATAATTTTACGAATTTATAGAAGGCAGACTTTAACATACTTAAAGGCTGAATGTCTTATAAATACATAACTTTTCCAATTAGGACACCTTCTTAGGATATGAAGCTCAGATAATATCTGTTGATTGAAAACTCCCAAACATTTTTCATAGAATAATTTTCGGAATGACACTTTACAGTCTTCTACAGATAGAATCCCTAAAGGCCCTCTATAGACAGAAAAACTTTCAACCAGTATGCTATGCTAACATGGAATACAAATTGAATGTATTGAAAACAAATACATTTTCTGGATTTATTTAGAATTTTCAGAATAGAATCCACAAAGGTCCTTCATAGTAAAAAACCGTCGAAGAGTGTTCTATAGGACACGTATGTGTCACATCTCCTTATCAAAGGTATACATAAGGTAGATGACCTCAAAAAGGTGTTTTGTAGATAGACTTTTTCCACAAAGGTATCCTAAAATACCTTAATAATGTATCCTATAAGAGAATATCTCCTGAGGTCCTCCAATAGTTTGAAGATATCTTAGTTAGTTCTGCGAAATATGAATGACATACTAAAGGTATTTGAGGTGTTCAAATTTCGTCATTTTGAGAATTTCAGACATGATTTTCAATTTTCACACGACATTTTGGGTATGTTCAAGGCCTATCCCAAATTTCCAATATTTGTATGTTCACCTCATGATGGATGATTTTCTTTTAACTTGAGTAGATTTCCGAAATGCATTAACACAGTTTCGAACAAAATATTTATAAATACCACCTACCATCAATTCTGTAGTTATGTAGTACATTTCGAAATTGGCAAATTTTGTCTATTTATTTTTGTAATCATCTTCATAAAAGCTTTCCACACTATTGTTGTTAAACGAGACTCTCTAAAACAGAGACAAACTTAGACTCCGAGTGGAATTTGTGTTTTCCTTTCCGTGGGTCAGGAAACACGTCATTATAAATCACTTTGTTTTGTTTTTCACGTGAATGAAAGTTCTCAAGCCCCGCAACTCCTTCGTTACGTTCCACAATCAACCAAAGAAAATAATTTATATATAAATATTTCATTTTCTATCTATCTCTTTTTCTATATATAAAAAAATATTAGTATATTTTGTCAGTTACTAAAGTGTATAACGAGTTTCTTTATTTTTAGCTAATTTTCCCTCTATATTTTTGTTTCGTTTCGAATTTGAATTTGTTCGTTATACTTACTTACTCAGAGTAATGAAGTTCCTCTTTCTTACTTTTCCTTTCATAATTTATTTTTTTGATATTATCTTTGTTTCTTCATTTGTTTCCAATAACACTTACGTACTCTTATTGTTATTGTTGCGAAATGCAAATATAGAAAGAAACAAAACAGTTAGCAAACCCCACCTATTTTCCCCTACATGGTTTTTAGACTAATGCCTGTGCAACTATTTTACAGGGGATGATCGGTCGCGGTGGTAATGTTGTTGGCGGAATGCAACAA